GACAAGATCTGCTGGCACCTTGATTTTGGACTCCTAGCCTTTGGAACTGTGAAAAATAAATGTTTGTTGTTTAAGCCATTCAGTCTGTGGTGTTTTGTTATGAAATCCTGAACTAAAACATTAATTTTATAATTCAAAAACTCCATCTTGGATTTTTTTTTCAAAAATATAAGCTCTATGGTCATAAGTGGTGAAAGATCCACTAACATAGAACCATGAGGTACAGAAACTTGGTTCTCTTCTGTCAGGAATCTTATGGTTCCAAGTGACATAAATAAATCTTATCTCAAAATAATGCAAAGAAGAAAGGAATTTATTAATTTATGCAAATAAAAATTGCAAGAGTAGAGTACAGTGGGATTTAGGAACTTGAAGGTAGTCATTAACACTTTTGTTCAAACTTCACCATCATTATTCCATGGACTGACTTACTTTGTAGACATGGGTAGCCCACATATCAGGGGTTTGTGATCATTCAGGTCCTATAATCCTAGAGGAAGTGATAATACTGCAGTTTCCCTGTCTATGCATCAATAGAGGAATGTTAACTTTTCTGTTAGGTTCAAGAACCTCTCCCATTGGAGATAAGGGATTGTGGTATCATGATATTCTTGGCTTGGAACATATAGTCACTTCTTCATCCAAAAGCAATTAAAATATTCTAGCTACATTTTAAGATATACCAAATTGCAATTGTAGAAGTTCAAAATTAAATTTTGTATGTTATTTGAGTTTTCATTATTTCAAAAAAATTTCTTCCATGGGGAATAAATTTGAATGTCTTCCCATTTGCAAGCTTTGCTCTTAATAATTTTAGTAAGGCAGAACTTTTTTGGTTCTCTACTTGTTAAATAATTTGATCAAAGATTTTCAGCTGATTTTTGAACAAAGTGTAACCAAATTTTGTACATTTCATTGTATTTGTTTCCTAGGATTGTTATAACTCAAAAACATAAACTGGGTAGCTTAAAACAACAGAAATTTATTTTCTCAAAGTCTGGAGGCTAGAAGACAGAAATCAATGTATTGGTTAGGGCTATCTCCCCTCTGAAGGCTCTAGAGATCCTTCCTTGCCTCTTCGGAGCTTCTGGTGGTTGCCAAGAATTCTTGGCATCCATAATTTGTGGTTGTATCTTATAATTACATCACTCCATTTTCTGCTTCTGCCTTCTCATGGCTATCTTTCCTCTGTGTATATCTGTGTATGTCTCTGTCCAAATTTCCCTTTTCTTATAAGAACCACAGTCATTGGATTTAGGTCCCATACTCTAATCCAGTATGACCTTATCTTAACTTGATTACACCTACAAACAACCTATTTCCAAAAAAGGTCACATTCACAGGTACCAGGGCTTAGGACTTGAACATAACTTTTGAGGGGAAAAAGTTCCATACACTATAGTCACTGATACAGAAAATTCAATATTTTTGTAGTATAGTTAGATCAATTTTCACATTGGTTCTCTCAAAGACTCAGGCATTTCTTTAATCTAACTTGTACTTATTAAAGAGAAAATACATTCTGTCATGTTAAAGTATTTCTTTAAATTCAATATCAACTTTGTTACAATATTTTATGTTTATTCATTTTGTGTTTATATGATAAACATTTATAAATGTCTACAACTTCTGCTTCTATTTAGATTGATTGTTTACTGAAATTTGTTTGGAAGCAATTATAAATTATGTATATGCCTGTACCCTATGTAAATGGAGGTAATGAAAGATGAAAGCAATGCAAGAACAACTTCACTACAAGTTGAAGGATAATCAGCAGGTGTGCTTTATCAGCACATAAGATTTTTCCAGAAAGGCTGTGCATACCGTGGGTTAATCTCAGCTGGTCGGGGTTGGCTGTATGTTTGTCTTCAGAGTTACTGACCCTTGGCCAACACTATGATACTTAATAACTGAAAGTAAATGGTATTCTGTAACCATATGTCTGTGAGTTGCTTCCAGCAGGATATATCAGCCTGTCAACATTGTTTAGTAATAGTTGAATATGGTTTGCACAAGATTTCAGTGGAATCTAGGAGTGGAGGAGCAAATTGGGGTTTGGCTTTCAATGGTTAAAACTAGTCATGTAACTAGAATATGCCTGCATGACTAGCTTATTGTAAGAGATCCTCACAACAAATATGTTTGAGCTTCCGGGTATTGAGGTACTTTGCACACCCTCGATTATGGTTTAACATGTGAATATGAAACATATCTTTTGCTACCAAGCAGTGGAAGGATAAATAAAGTTTGCTTCTTAGGTTTCAGTGCATACCCTTCTCCTGTTGTTGTACTCTATCTTCTGCCTGTAATAAAGCTGGTCTATTAATATAAACTGTTTGGGTCCTCTGAATTGTTTTAGCTATTAAAAATGGAAGGTGATTATTGTGTAATGAACACCTCTGAATAATATACAGAAAATAAAAGAAGGGAGAATTAATGTGCAAGTTCTCTCTTACCTCCTGCTTCTCATTTTAAAAATTTCAGCCCAGTGGGGGCTAAAACTATGCGTTTCACAGCAGCATTAACCAACTATTCCACAGCTTCTGAGGAAACCAGGTTTTATGCCCTAGAATGTAATTACATTCAAGTCCAAAAGCAAAGAATTGATTCTGCATTGGTGAGGCCCCAACCACAGGGAAAAGGAAGAAGGTAGGCAATGTACTGAGTGCCCACATCTAAATGAATTACCACAGAGTACTCATCTTCCAGGCTAAGGGAAAGAATTTCACTAATACCTGAGAGCACTTTCTCACATTCCCTATCAAGTTCTACCTTCCCTCAGATAACCAATAGTCTAGTTTATCTCATCAGATATTAATTGCTCATAGATTCTAATAAATTCTATTTATGGGGTTGTACATTCCACTATGTTTTGTGTCCAGTTACTGTCATTCAGTGTTATTTATATAAAATTCATCCACGTTGTTTTGTGTGACAGTAACTCATTCATGTTAATTACAGTATAATATCCCTTTGCATTGTATACCACAATTTATTTATACAAAATACTGTTAATTCACACACGTTGATTTTAGTTTGGGATATTAATAATAACGTTGCTAAGAATATTGGTTAAATGTTTTAGAGCATATATGTGTATATGTATAAATGTCTTTAGAGCAAACATATATAAATATATTATATATATATATATTTATTTATTTATTTATTTTGGTTATATACCTAAGAGTGAAATTGCTAGTCATAAGATAAGCAGATGTTTATCTTCGACAAAGACTAATGCAGGTTTCCAAGTTGCTTGTACCAGTTAACATTTATTTTAGCTCTGCTTTTCATTCCTTTTGTTTGTTTGTTTTTGCAAATACTTGGTATTACCAATTCTTTTCATTTCAGTCATTCTGGTGGTTGTGTCATGATATTATTCAGTATATTTAATTTGCATTTTTTTCTGAGGACTAATGATGTTGAGCACTTTTTCATATATTTATTGACCATTAAGATAACCTCTTTTGGTGAAGTGCCTATTCAGGTCTATTGCCTACATACTATTACATCAGTTGCCCTTGTTATTGAAATATGCCCAATTAAATTTTGAGCAAGTTGGGGACTGGATTCAGACAAAAAATTGTGCTTAGCCGTATCACATTTGGGATATTAATTAGGTACTCAGATGTGGAGGCAAAGAATGCAATTGCGTACGTGAGTTTGGGGTTCAGAAAAGAAGTAAGTTTGGAGACATACATGTGGAAGCTCTGAGCTCATGAATGGACTTAAAGCCTTGGAACTGAACAACATCAACAAAAGTAAGGCTAACTTCTAGGGTAGTCCAACCCTTAAAGTTTTGAAAAAGGAGAAAATGCCAAAAGGGAGACTGCAAACAAGTGGCTAGTGAGTTAAGAGAGAAACCAAGGGCTTATCAGGTTTAGGATTTCAAACAAAAAGAAGTGTGATATTTCAAAAAAGAAGGGTTGGTCAACTCTACGAAATAGCACTGAGAGGCTGGGTAAAATGAACACAGATTAGTAAGATAAAAGTTATTGGTAATCTTCAAAAAAGTGGTTTCCATAGGAATAAAATCTTGATTGGAGCAAGCTAATGAGAGAATAACAAGTGAAAAAATGGACACAGCAGTTTGGATACTTCTTTTATGATAGTTGTCATAGAGTAACCGAAGAACTGTCGAGGATGGAATTTTTCTTTAAAAATAGGAGATATTATGCCTAAGTACAGCTTGGACTTGATCCTGTGGTGAGGAACACATTGAGGATGCAGGAAAGATGAAATTAGACAAGTCACAGTGTAAACTCAAGGGGATGGAATTGTGTATAAAAATGTAGGATTTGGTAGACAGATAATTCATCATGATGAAATAATTACTCCACAGACAGAGACAATGGATATCAGAGCTTCACATAAGTCTGCTCTCTTGTGCATTAATTGCTAAAATCACATAACTCAGCTCATTCTGATTGTGATACTGGCTCTTGCTGCTCTGGTGTAAGTGAAGTCAGGAACATGGGGCAACCAGGAACACCTATCATGTACCGTGCAGTGCACTATTCACATTACAACTTCAATAAAACCCCTTAAATTGACTATTGTATAGATGTAGAAATGGAACCTCTTAGAGACTAACATGCAGCACCACTTAGCTACCACGTTATAGAGCTGTGATTCAGATATCACATTTGAAGCTTTTTTTTTCCTATTTATTAGGTCATAAATAAATTAGGTCATAAATTCCTAATTTATGACCATAAAATTTAACAGCTAATGCTGAATACTTCTGAGAGTGAAAGGCACAAGTGTAATAGTTCAACTGAGATAATAGGTATAAACCAAGACTTTCTAGAGTATATGCAGCATATGATCACCCTATCTTTTCCTCCACCTTTTGATATCCTCTGGTATTCAATTCAAAGCATTCTATACAATTTCAATTTTTCCACGGCTATTTTTAATGCCAATAATAACTTTAAGTTAAAAATAAAGAGGCCAATTACATCTGAAAAATTATAATAAAGACAGGAAAGCTTAAATATGCCAAAGGATTAATTTATTGAAATGACTGGTTAGGAAAAAGATTCTTAAAGAAATAATAAACACAAATCCAGAAATTATTTTTATACATATTTTTGATATGTTTATGATATTTCCCACTTAAAGTTGAAATTTTGTTGAATTAAACTTTTGAAAATATAGAGTTTATAAGTCAAATTCAAATTAAGATGAATGCCATATAAAGCATAAAATAAATAAAGGAATAATTTTCATATTTTTCCATGTTGATTCATTTAAAAACTATTTTGGTAGCATGATGCAAGGATTGAAAAGTTGCCACATTTCCAGTCGCAGTCAATTCTGTGGAATAGAGAACAAATATAGAATTAGTTATATGGTATAACTCTTCATCTCTCCCCATTTGTAATTTTGGTGGGACTAATTCATAAGAGAAATTTTATTACAAATGCACCATGTTGTGCCCTATCTTGGAGGCATATAAAAGTTCCTCTAGGACCAAATATCAGCTCACTTGGAATTGTTTTATGTCTACTGGATCATGATCACAAGAGTATTCGCATCTTAAGAATCTCAAAACTATATTCTATTCCCTTTTTAAGCCTTATGTCTGGACTAAGAAACTGTATTTTTACTCATAAATTAAAAGACAATATATAAATTTTAACTGATAACTAATTGAAGTTCATAAAGCCTAAGTTAGAAATGTGAATGCAGTTGATCTTTAGAATAAGCTCTAACATATTTACATAAAAGTAGAAGAAATTATTTTCAGTTTTTCCTAAAAATGATGATAATCAAGCATAAGGATATAGGCAATTGAAAGAAAAATAATCAAATCTGTCAACAGCACATACATACAATTTTGAATTATTTGAAATATAAAAGATACAAAATTTCAGGTACATAATTAATAGTCAGTCATTGAGAATAAATTGATAATTAATAATTAAGTTGGTATATTGATGGAAGTTGGCACTATTTGGGGCTTATCCAGGAAAATGAAATGTAATAAGATATTAACTATAAAAATGATCAGTCTATCTCCAAACTCCTAAAGCTTACCAAAAGTGAGGAGGGGGCATTAATTTTGAAATCCTCTTAGACCTTAACAATTAAAAAATCAATGAATAAATATACAATTCACCTTTTGGCAAGAACACTTTCCCTAAGAATTTCATGAGTATTGAAATAAACACCTCAGTATTTTGCCCTCATATGCTCATATATCAAAAACAAGATGTGAAATGAGGCATGTGGGGAAATAATTGTGCACAAGCAAAACTTCAAAATTGTAGAAAACAACAAACTTTCTTAGGTTTGTTATTCCCAACCAAATGAGGTTATCAAATTTAATTCTGGCTTTAGTACACCTTAATCCTCTTTATCTAAATTATCAACAGACCAGTTAAATCATAGTCCCTGAAATTATTTCTTCCCAATATTCAGTTTCTTCTACATAGAAAGAACAATTATATCAGAATCTCCATGGGTAAGCCTAGACATTGAGATTTAGGTGTGTGTGTGTGGGAAGTTCTCCAGGTTATTCTATTTGTAGCTAGTGTTGAGAACCACTGATCTAAACTATACGCATTTTGGAACCATTCATTATTCATTTTTTCTTTTATTCTAGAGCTTTCAATTACTCTAACATCATAGAAACATCATGAGTGAAACAGCACAATTAGTAAATTTGGACTTACAATAACAGGGTAGAGCCCCCGGATAGGACCAAGTACAGGCTCCTGGTACAGCAGAAGGGCCTGGATGGGCATATCTCTCTGGAGGTAGGGCACCACTTGCTGGGGAATAGGCAGGACTTTGGGCTGAGAAAGGGACTGCAGTGGCTGAGGAGGAAACATGGGGGTAGGAGGAAAACGATGGGGAGGCTGGTGCATCAAGGACTGGAGCAGAGGCAGAGGAAGGTGCAGATTTTCAAGATCAGTGAGAGTCAGGCTCTGGCTTTCAATAAAGGGCTCTACTGGAGATTTAGGGAAGCGCATTTCTTTATGCTTAGGAAGGATAGTCTCCTTAGCTTTGGAGACTTCCATTATTTCAGGCTGAGGGAAAGGCACCACCACAGGGCGCTGAGCAAGAGGCAGGATGTTTTGTGGAAGGATAGGGTAAGGGATTGGCCCAGTGTAGGAATAGACTAGAGGCTGTGGCTGGGAAAAGTGGTGGATTTTATCCTGGCGTTCATCCTGGAAAGAAGGAAAAATAGTCTTTGCGTCTGTAATTCAGTTATAATTGTCATTCATGATGAATTAGCCTCCTCTCTTTTGAACAATAATTCAGGGAAAAGAGAGAAAGAAAATCTTTCCCTTACTTTGGTTAAGAAATTATTTGGGGTCCTGTGAAGATTAATGAGTAAAATGCCCACTAAGGGATTTCTCATTAAGCCACTTCCTTCATAGGTGAATCCACAGAGCCAAAAGCAATCAATGTTTGGAGATTTCAAGACTTGTTTCACCTTTTCCTGAGTTGCCTGCAGAGCTGTAGCTATATACTTTGGTCTTCAGAGGGTACAGAGTTTTCAACAATGTGTTGATAATAGTCAAAATTGTTTTCATATAATGAATGAAGATCTATTTTAAAAAGACTTAAAGGGATAACTCCAAGGTTTATTTTTTTTGTTTTAATGAAAAGTAAGTCTTAGTTTGTTTTTTTAATTCAAGGAATTATTTAACAACAGCAAACTTCTAGCACTACTTCCCTTGGTAGAAGGTGGTAATCTTGAGTCTTTAAAGAGGCATCAATTTGTAAGTTCATTTTGATTTAGCAAATATTTGGTGTAAGTTCCAGACAATCTAATTTCATTAGTAAAACAGGAAAGCTTAAATATCACAATAGAGTAATTATGTTACCACAAAAGTAATTTATTTACAGAATTTTATGTTGTTTCCAATCCTTATTTTTAAGCAAGCTCTGCTATTTAATAACTATGTGATATTGCCACACAACTGTGTACTCAATTGTTCTGTACCTCACTTCTCTCATCTGTGTAATGGAAATACTTTTAGGAACTTCACACATTCATAAATGTGAGTATAAAAGCTACAGAATGCTAATGTAAAATCACTGAATATTCACTGTGTGCCAGCTCATCAATCCTGGGGATTTATGAATATTCTCAATTTACAGGTGAAGAAATTGAGGTACAGATAAACTTGGAGCCAAGGTTATACAGCTGATAAATGATCAAATTAGGATTTTTGCCACACTGCTTCCCTCCACTTTTTCCTCACCATACCCATCTTGAGAATAAGGGGATCACAGTCCCCTATCCAGAAATGTTCCTACCAATGTGCACTCTTTGAATACAGGTATACTATTAGTAAAATGAATAAACTAATAGTTATTCTTAGGTATTTATTCTAAATTCTGGAAGCTGATTATGTTTAAAAATGTGTTTAAGTCTTTAAAAATATTTTCACCTTCTCAAAGTTTAATTTCTTCCACTGATGTTTATATTATTACCATTCTTTAGATGGAACATAATTATTATAAGTATGTTTTCATGTATTATGTTTCATTATAATTTTCAAAATATACTAATCATGAAAAAATTACCTCTGTTTGCTGCTGTTCCTCATGTTTAAACTTCTCAATTTTCTGCTAAAAAACAATTACACATAAAGAATTGTTATTATTTGTAAAAACCAAACAGGAAATTTTGAAAATATGTACATTTAAATATAATGGTTTTACCTCATTGATGTGCGTAACAGATTCCTTTGGAAGAAAAAAATAAAATCACGTTTAGTTTTAATGAACTATTCTTAGTTGTCAACATACATCAGAAAATGAAGACATTTAATAGGTTAATGTAGACATATTGTTTGATAATATCATTATTTTAATTGCTGAAACTTTATGTTACACTATTCTGAATAAATCTGTGTATAAAAGAACAGATGATGCAGTCAAGAAAGAAAAGAAAATTAGTGAGCATAATACCAAAAGAGGCATTTAACAGAAGTTAATTTCTCTTTATCACCCTGCTCCCTTCTTATGACAACAAATGATCTCTAATACCCTCATCTAGTTCTAGAAGAATAGTCATTGAATATATATGATAATAACCATTGATGCATTTGTTAATCATTCTTAGTTCCCTAGTTATGTTTAGGCTTCAAATGAATTGTAAGAAATACATACCCTCCCCTAAGGACCTTATAACCTTTGCAAAGAGACAAAGTATATTGATGTACCATTTAACTAAAAGGTGATAACAGACCCAAAAAAGAGTGGTGCAAGCATTAATATCTACATGACTCCCCCAGGCAGATTTAGGACTACACTAATTCTCACTGCCTCTTATTTACTACATTGCTATTACAATAACAAAATATGTCCATTTGCATGTCTCTCCACTCTTTACTAAGGGCATCCCTCTTTCCAGTTTGTACCACAGCTCCTAGTCAAAGTCTGATACAGAAAGTGCTCAATAAATGTCAAAACAGGGAAAGAGGTTAACATAGAGTTCAAGATAGAAAAGAGGACTGTATGTATAGTTCATCAAAAAAAAAAAAAAAAAAGAAAGGCACAGTGACACAATTTAAGTAGCAGACAAACTTAGAAACTGCTAGAATACTAAATCTTCTAGACATTTATTCTGTCTTTAAATATATACAGTGGAAATTTACATTAGTTACCTGTCAGAACATAGCTACATTGGCTTGACTGCCCTAATGTAATACAAAAAGAAAGTACAGTATTTTTTTGTTCTAAATTTGGGAAATTGCCTCCGAATGAAGGTTGTCTTACCTCACTGCTTGAAAGGCTTTTCACAGTCTGTAAAGGAAAAAAGAAATCAATAATCAGGTGAGTCTTCTACTAGATCATCAGAAAGTGTTATTACTTTATGGTTGGAAATTTTTCTCTGAAGAAAAATATCTTACCTCACCGGATACAATGAGTTCTTCTTTCTATAGAGAAAAAACAACACCATTTTAGTTCCCATAGCTAACCCATTATTAAACATTTTTCCTACCTAATTTTTACCTTCCTTATGGAGAGCTATTTCACAAATTTGAGAAATAAAAAATGTTATATGTCTTTTGAGAGACTTGTAATTGCTTTTACGGCTTTCAAATTTAGTACCTTTTTATTGGTAGATTTTTATTTTACCTTAATGAAGAGTCTTTTTTATGGGTAACAGAAAAGGAGTTATTTTAATTTGTATTGAACACTTTTTTATTATGATTATGAATATGTTTATGATTATTCATCTTCTGGAGTACCATCCTCTGTTGAATATACACAGGTAGGAATCAGCCCAGTTCCCTAGAGTAAGATATATGTATATTTCATCACTGGAATAAGATATATTTATCAAGATTGCACATGCACGCAATTGTATTTGTGCAATATTACTCATGTTTTTGTTCTTATGTGTGTTTCTTCTTGTTTGTCTGCTGCTTATTGGTCTGTTTGCTTTTCCTTTAGGTACTGGTGGCACAATACTGTAGAAGAATTTGACCCAGATTTGTGGTCCTATAGGATTCTGTTGAGATAGTGAGTGAATGTAAATGATTTTCTTAGAAGTCAAAAAAAAATCTGAGATCCTGCATTATTTATACATTTAAAATGTTGGTAATACTACATTCTGCAAATAGGCAGATAGTACTATTTCTTAGTTATTTCAAGATATTTTTCTGTACTTACCTCTCTTGCAAGGGCAAGAGCCAACAAGCAGGCAAGGATGAGGACCTTCATGGCTATTAAGTCCTGTGAATGGGGAAATGAGGAAATGGTATATTACTTGTCAATCTAAGGCATTTTATTATTTAGGTAGGATTACTTTCCTTTAAAAGAAACCAAAGGTAATGTAAAACAAAAATGTCTGGGGACTTCCCTGGTGGTCCCGTGGTTAAGATTCCATGCTTCCACTGCACGGGGTGCGGTTCAATCTCTGGTTGGTGAATTAGGATGCCGCATGCCACATGGCATGGCCAAAAAAAGAAAAAAAAAGAAGAAAATGTCTGTATTGTAGAAAAAATACTAATAGAAGTTTTATCATATGACCAAGGTCAAAATCTACTATGGCTCCTTAATCTTACATACCAAGTTTATATTTCATTGCCAGCCATTCAGATATTTTCAGCTAACAGCCCTATCCTACTTTATTCGTTTTCATCTCATTCATGGTACTTATGAGGGCTTTTTAGAAAGACAGAAAAAAAGTTACAAATATTTACAGAAAGATTAATTAGTTGATTCATTTATTCAAAAATATTTATTTAGGGGCTTCCCTGGTGGTGCAGTGGTTAAGAATTCGCCTGCCAATGCAGGGGAGATGGGTTCGAGCCCTGACCCGGGAAGATCCCACATGCCACAGAGCAACTAAGCCCGTGCACCACAACTACTGAACCTGCGCTCTAGACCTGCGAGCCACAACTACTGAGCCCACGTACCACAACTACTGAAGCCCACACGCCTAGAGCCTATGGTCCACAACAAGAGAGGCCACCACAATGAGAAGCCTACGCACTGCAACAAAGACCCAATGCAGCCAAAAATAAATAAAAATAAAATTTAAAAAAATATATATTTATTTAGCACCTTTTATTGTCAGACACTGCTTAGGTGCTGGGATTTTAGCAGTGAGCAAAATATTAAGGTCTCAGTCCTGTTGGAGCTTCAGTTCTATTGAGAGGCAACTGATCAAAGAAAATGTATACAAAGAAGAAGATCATATCTTATTTTTATATTATTCATATCTTATTCATATCTTTATTTCCAATAAGACCACCATTTTCATTTTAGCATTTCTTTTATTTGCTCCACTTATCCAGACATTTTCTTGGACTGATTGGACTATCTCTTCTCTATGTATATCCACCTCTCAGTCTTCATCCCCACATGCCTAATGCCATCTCTTCTCATTTGTCACACATAATTTTAGAGATCATACACTCTGTTTATTTTCTCTCCATAAAAATGTGTACTTATCCCTTGATGATTTACCAAGGTGTCAGGTTCTTTGGTCCAATCCCCACTCTAGGCTACTTCTCCTTGGAGCATAACATAAAATAGGTTATCACTTTTCACCAAAATGTACTAAATGGTTGGTCTTGTTGCATTTCTATAAGTTCTTGTAAAAAATAATGTTTGTGTCACCAATATCCCTTGACACACAATCTTCAATCCCAGATTTTCAAACTAAATTAAGAAATTTTTTTCTAGATTTTTCTCATGGGTGCTAATTCTATATTAGTTTTACTTTACCTAACACTTCTATCAATTTCTAAATAACTTTTTATTGTCATGACTCAAAAAAAGAGTATGGTACTATACTAGAATTCATTACAAGTAGGGAGAATATTATTACATTTTCTTTATTTTATAATTAGCATTTTATATACAGATTTTCAAGCAAGAATTTTATTATTCACTAATATACTTTGAGCTATTCTTTCTTTCAGATCATATATTTCCTTAATTTTTGTTTCCTGGTCATCTCTGTCAGATCTAGAATTTTTGTACAAAGTAAAACACTTTGTTTCTTTTTAACTTAATTCTGTGTTTCATGTATCTATTTTAATATTTTTAAATAGTATAAACTAAATGATAAACTGGGAATTTGGATGTTCTAAACAATTTTGATAAATACACTCTTCTTCTAAAAATATTGTCCATTTCTTGACTACTCTATTTCTTGACTCAGTATGCTACTTCTATAAACTATTTGTTGGCTAACACTTTCTCAGTGAAGAACCTAGGGGTAAGATGGGAATAAAGACACAGACCTACTAGAGAATGGACTTGAGGATATGTGGAGGGGGAAGGGTAAGCTGTGACAAAGTGAGAGAGTGGCATGGACATATATACACTACCAAACATAAAATAGATAGCTAGTGGGAAGCAGCCACATAGCACAGGGAGATCAGCTTGGTGCTTTGTGATCTCCTAGAGGGGTGGGATAGAGAGGGTGGGAGGGAGGGAGACGCAAGAGGGAAGAGATATGGGAACATATGTATATGTATAGCTGATTCACTTTGTTATAAAGCAGAAACTAACACACCATTGTAAAGCAATTATACTCCAATAAAGATGTTTAAAAAAATTAAAAAATAAATAAATAAAAAATATTTACTTCAAGAAATAGATCTTTTAATATAGCCTGTTAACTAGTCATGTGCTAAAGAAAATAGCAATCACTGTTACTACATTTTGTTAGACTCAGAAAACATATGCTGTCATTATAATTTTTATCAAATCTTTATAGGTACTTCTATTTTTTTCAAGCTAAGTGCTAAAAATATTGTTAGAACTATCTTAAATACTCTAACTTTAAAGATATATTTTAAGTAATTATATTCTTTCTATATCTCAACTTAGTTTGAAATAAAGATGAGGAGAGGATATATTGAATTATCTGAAATTCTTACCTTTTTTCTGAAGTAGAGGAAAAGAAGTGAAGAAGAAGCTGAGTGGATAATGGTCTGCTTTTGTGGCTCTTTATATACAGTATTTAATGGCATGCTAATTTTGTGGTTGAAATAAAATCAATAGTGAGTTTGAATTCCAAGAAGTCTGCATGATTAGAAAATGAATTCTTCCTATTATCTGTCCCCAGAAATTCTGGGGAGCATTTTAACAAGGGAATAATTCACAATCTGATAAAGGAAGTGAAACTGTCCAGTACTTACAGACATTGGCTAGGGGACAGTGATGTTCTGGCCCAGTCCCCAAGTTATTGTAACCACAATAAAGTCTCTTAGTACTTGGTGGGTCTTCAAGATCTTAATTGTGGGGAAATCCTAATAGACACCAGAGAGACACAAGCCACACAAAGGACACAATTTCGTGCTAACCACTATAGCTGTAGTGTTTTATGCTGTAATGCAGAAAATGACAAGCTAACAAGTCCATGACGGTAGCTTAGACCCAAAGAGGGAAGAGAGTTATAGGCTAAAAGGAAAGGAAGAATAGGGTCTTGAATATGAGAAAGAAGTCACTATAATTAAATCAAGTAGCGAATCTGGGTCATGAATTGCAAGGAGTAGGGAGTAAATGGAGATGAGAAGAGAGAAAGAGAAAGGGGTCAGATAATGATGGGCAAAGCATACAATGATCCTAAGGAACGTAAATTTTATTCTCTAGATAGTGCGGATTTGTTGAAGGGTATTAAGACAGAAAGTAACATTTAGAGAATACTTCTACAAAATGAATGATAGTGGTACAAATTTATTAAAACGGGGCAGCCCAGGTTTGGCCTCATATCTTTTACAGTGAGTCAATACTTATCAGCTAGTATACATGGAAGGACAAATGAGGGAAGGAAGGAAGAAAGAAAATGAAAACCCAAACAGGAGGAGGGTCTTACCCAAAGTACTACAATAGAGTTTGAGCCAGACTTCAAAAGTACTTTTTAGGTGCCCATTTACAAAAGCAGTCTTCAAGTTTCTTTGCCTCTTTAGCAATTGATGTTCATAAATGTAGTTGTATTTGACACTACTCATTTTTAGAAGGTTTGTTTCTTCTATTCATTGCCTGTAATAGGTATATTCAGGGCTTCAGGACAGATAGATGCCCTTCTAAAGTAAGCACTTTAGCATAATTAATAATTTTTCTTCACAATATACTTCGCATTCATATCATGCTAGATGTGTGTGGGAGAGGAACACACCTGACTGTCATACAAGTTTTGTATTGCTTAGAAAACCCAAGTCAATGTCTGCTATGTATTTGAATTATTCAGCTAATCTTCATTTTAAGACTGTTCATAGGGAGCCAGGAGGAAGCCATGGAAAGAAATGATGAAATGACTTCAGTGTCATAGGTATAACTAAAAAAGGCCTTGGCTGCTCCATGTGCCTTTATGTGTTAGCTCTTGGTTGCCAAGGCCACAGCCAAAAAAGTGTGATTTCTGAGAAAAGGAATACAAAAGCAAGCATGCCCTACCCATTCAACACTTCCTTTTTATTTTCTCAGCAAGATAGTTTACATATTGTGCAATAAACACAGCATTGCCTTATGACTGTCTCTCACCAAGTTTGAATTATATTAATTATATTAATTGTTATAGTTATTGGGTCAGAAGAGTAGGTTAAAACCTTGATCAAGGAAATCACTAACAATACACTAGAGAAAGGAGCTTGTCCAAGGGAAAATTAAAAAGACTGAGATTTAAGATGACATCAGGTGCCACTGGCCAGGTAAGCTTCAGAACACAAAGACCAATAAGAAGCAAAGTGCCATGTGGGCAACTCAAGCTTTTGCAATGTATAACTTAAGAGTTACCATTTTTATAAGGCAAAATGAGAATTTCATACAGGGAAATTTTATAAGATAATCCTGGGTGAGGAGCAAGATATAATCTAAGCAAGATGTTCTAGTACTATTTGTTATAAGCAGAATTTGTTCAGCCAATGCTTTTTCCCATATTGAATGATGGGTCTGAAATATGCAGTCATTCATTTTGGATATATTCTAGCTGAAACCATGTAAGTAATACCCTCAAGAAAGAGAGCAATAGAAAAGTTGGATAAAGAGTACAATAAAGGGACCAAAAAATGTTCAGAAAATAAGAACTAGAAGAGATATCAGGAATTCCCTAGTGGTCCAGTGATTAGGACTCTGTGTTCCCATTGTGGCGGGCATGGGTTTGATCCCTGGTCAGGAAACTAAGATCCTGCAAGCTGTGTGGCATGGCCAAAAAAAAAAATTAAGAGATATCATCCATATGATGTCTTAAATATATTTTAGAGAAGAGGAAACTGAGGATCTGGGAATTTGTATTATTTTTTCAGGATACTATAGCTATTTAGAGATAGAGCTGTTAACTAAAAACTTCAGTTTCCTAAAAAATATTTGAGGTACTGTTTAATAACTTCCAAAACATGGGGGCAGGGAGAAGGAAAATAAATAGGATTTATATAATAATTTAGACTTAGGAACAACAGAACACAGAATTACTTAATTCTGACAAATTATTAGGTAGGGATAGATAGTTTAGCTTAGCATTATTTATATAGTTGGAGTATTTTAATTCTTTCCATTTGATTATCCAAATATAATAAAATAACATCTTATCTATGTGAAATATAGCTATTAAGATTAATTTATAAAGTTAATCAAGAATCAGGGAATAAGAAATATGTTCTGTGAGCAAGCAGACACCATGAAAGCATAAAACCCAGAACCCTGATTCATAGGACCCACTCTTAATCCTAATTACTCTCCCTTTACATATGAATCATCACTCAAGTTCAAGATACATTTATTGAGCACATACTAGACCAGTAGTTTTCAACCTTCATGCTATTGATATTTTGGGCAGGAGAATTCTTTGTTGTGGGGGTTATCCTGTGTGTTGTAGGATGTTTAGCAGCTTCCTTGGCCTCTACCCATAAGAAGCCAGTAGCACCAACCACACAGCTATTAGAACCCAAAATGTCTCAAGAAATTTCCAAATGTCTCCTGGGGCAGGGCAGTGAAAAATCATCTCACATTTAGAAGCACTGTACTGGATGACTTGAAAAGTCACACAAAGAAAAAAGACAAAGATGGTGTGGTTCCATCCTGTCAGTGTTTCAGTGCCTTTGAATTCCTTATGTCTATATGCCCCTCTTTTCCCACTTTGAATTTCAAGGGAGTTGCTATTATCACACTTGTATACAGATATTCAAATCCCCTACTTGTCTCTGATTTTACTATACTGTCTTACCTAAATCATATCCCAGGTTAATCCGAATTCTACCTTCTGCCCCTGTGAATGTAGCTGACAAAACATATTCAACCATGACAATTGTTCTCACTATAAAATGAAGTGCAGCAGTCACATATTCTCTCCGACTTTCTTAGACTATTTAACATTCAAAGCAACAACACCTCTACATACTGCCTTTCATTGGTTTCCTGACACTCCCAGATTAAAATCCAAAAGTGATTACAATGACTTAAAATACCTTACATCATCAGGCCCCCTGTTGCCTCTTTGACCTCATGTTCTGTGTATTCTCCGTCTAGTTCCTGCTCTGTCCTGCTGGCCTCTTTGCTATTCCTTGAGAACAGTAGGTGAGCTGCCACCTGATAGCTTTCCATTAGTCTTTTCCTCAGTCCGGAATTCTTTCCCCAGGTAAATGCATGGACCACTCCCCACTCTTCTCTTATGTCTCTACTTAATTTTTCTGTGAGGCTTTTCCTGGCCATCTTCCCCAGTACTCCTCCTGACATTTCCTACCCCACTTCCTTTACCTATTTTTCTTCTTTTCATACAATATAATGTAAATACTATACATTTTACTTTTTATCGTGATTTTTTTTTTGCTACTTGTCTTCAATTGTTTGTGTTTCTGTAGCTCTGTACACTTATAAATCTGTTTCCCTTAAAAGAATGTAAGTTTCATGAGGGCTATATCCCAGGAGCCTAGAATAATACATCTAGTTACTTGTAAATAAGTCTAAGTAGCTTATGTAATAAAATTAAATTCATTTATTTACATAGTTTAAATAACTGTTGACTGAGTAAATGAATTAATTAACATGTGACTGACTAAAATACAGCATCAATGTAAATACTCTCTTAAAGAACACACCAAATAAGCAAGCACTAGACCTACCCGAGGCTTGGAGGATATTGTCACAGAAATGTTCAAATTTCAACTTTATCTTGGAAAATACATAGGAGTTTGTGAGTCAGAGAATGTGAAGAGAGAGCATTCTCTGTCAGAAGGAAAGACATGAAGACATGAAATTATGGAATGGAAAAGTTGTATATGAGACATAAGGAGAGGCAAGAAGTAAGGCCAGAAATATCTCCCCAGAAAGCTGTGAAATGGTCTTGAATGTTGTGTTAAGACCTTGGATATTATTCCATATATAATATGAAACAATTAAAATAGTTTTTGCAGTAAAATGGCTTCTCACAACAGTTTTTGCAAAATAATTCTGAGAATAATGTGGATAATAACCTAGAAAACTGTCAGGTTAGAAGTGGAAAGACCAATTAGGAAACAAATTACAATTACCTAAGAAAGAACAAAAGATGTGAATGAGGTGAAAGTTGAATGTACAAGTTATGGAGCAAAATCTACAAATTAAATCTTTTCAGTTGCTCATCTAAGTATTTGATGGTAACTGGTAGGAGAAAATTGGTGATGTAGCTGAAGAAACAGGAAATTATGAGACAGTATTTGTAGAATATAGGATGGGGCAAAACTGATTGTTTGTCTAGGCTAAAGAAAGACCACTGGAAATGAAGCAAAGATGTAAGAGAGAAAAGGGATAAAATAGAATGGTGATGATTATGTAGGAGGTATTAAGAGCCGATTTACCCAAGACAAATGACTGATTCAGAGCTTCTCTGGAGAGTTAGAGAAATGAACAAGCATGGTTGTGAAGCCCCCAAGCTAATGGATGGAGATGCAAAAATGATTAAAACAGATCAGATATCTTGCCCTCAGCAAACAAAGCTTTTTAAAATAGATCCATACAAAACATTATGACTGATAAGCAGTCATAAAAATGCATAAGCAAAACAATATGGTTAATAGGAGACATAAAAATCAGAAACAGGAAAAATAGCAATTTCAGGAAAATAATTTTATGGTGCTGAACTACTTTAAATTTGTCAATGACTGTAAATAACATATATATATATATATAAATTGATTATATTTAGTATTTCAGAATGTAGTAAGGTGTGGTAAATTTTAAAAATTCTTCTACATAAAATAATTAGGAAATTTAAAAAATATCATTATGCTTAAAAGTTAATTTTTAAGTTGATTCCACTTAGCTTGCCAGAATGATTCATTCTCCAGTAACACAGAATCACATTTGTGATCTCTTTATTTTAGCAAACCCAGCCCTTCAATGTGTTTTTTTGGCAAAGAAGATATTTTAAGGCATGTTTCAAATTTGTTGATAGCCTGTAAATATCAGAAGAATTCACATTTTAAAAACTCCAGACTTCTGATTTATCTCCTAAAATAATTTGCAGAATCTGGTAATACAGAGTAATAATTTTTCCATGTCAAAAACTGGCTGGAGCTGAATATTGACTGCTTCCTTCGACCCGTGCTCGAACTTTCTAGGAGGCCATAATCCATATTTTATCTTACCTTTTTTTTTTTTTTTTTGCGCTACGCAGGCCTCTCACTGTTGTAGCCTCTCCCATTGCGGAGCACAGGCTCCAGACGCGCAGGCCCAGCGACCATGGCTCATGGGCCTAGCCGCTCTGCCACATGTGGGATCTTCCAGACCGGGCACGAACCCGTGTCCCCTGCACGGACCCCCCCACCACTGGGCCACCAGGGAAGCCCTATCTTACCTTTTTTATGTCTAGTGCTGTTTTATTCATTTAAATCACTTGGTTGGTCTCTATGGTTATTTGAATTTGTAAATATTTTCTGATTTAGCATCTTCCACCTAAAAAATAATATTTTCTATTACATACACTATTGCTAAACTTTGCAATAATACACACACACACACATATATTTAATTGACACCATCTTACAGATGAAAAACCTGAAGACAAAACTTATCTACTCAGTTTATAGTGCTAATAAGTAGTGGATACAAGTCATTACACTGTGTGGCTTGTCATTTACATAGACCAAGTTTTTATATTTGATAGATGGCTACCAAGCTTCAGTTCTTCATTCATTCAAATAATGAAGCACATTTATTTTTATAATAATGAAAATTTATTACATATCCAAATGTTTTTCAGATACGTGTTCAAAGAAAATAGAAAACAGATCTGCGAAATTCTTTTTGCCTGTAGCCAAATAAATTTATGCAAATGAGACTAGGAAAGACTTATGAACTTCCTTGAACCAAAAAACTAGGCCATGGCAGAGGTGAGGCTACATAAAAACAGAATGTTAATAATCAATGAACGTAATAACATCTTCATTTCCTCTAATCATATTCTAAATCATCCTGTATGAAATACTTCTTAGAATATGTGGGTACAAAAGTTGGTCAGAAAAACAACATGTGATCATAGTGAGTTCTTAGAATTCAAGTAGGTTACTTGTATTTTAAACCACAGAATTACCACATGATGGAGAAACAAGGTTTAAATAGTATTAAGATAAACTATCTTAGCACATTCACTGTCTGGACTTCTTTTCTTTGTTTTACAAAACAAGGTAATATTTTCATATATCCTTTCTCTCATACTTCTTACCTATGAAGAATATCTGTACAACAAATACTATTATTTAGAAAAAAATACAAACAGTATTTTAAAAGATAATAAAATGTTTTAAAGAAGGTTTCTTCTAATTAGCCCAAGACTCTTATTTATCATTCTTTACCAGGTTTTTCTTGATGAAACTGACATTTAGACACTAGAAACAGTTTATCGTATTTTTTTTTATTATTATGTGCTCAGACCTTGCTTTTGATGCAGGGAATTCAAAATAAAGATTACAGAAACTCAGGAGAATCTTCATCTGTAAAATAGAAAAAAAATTATTCACCTTACATTACTCTGGTGCAGAAAATACACATAACATGACTAACAGAGTGAAAATAGCAGATGCTGAGTGATTAGTAGATCTTTTGTTTTATTTTTTAAACCTACATTTTAAGAAAATTTGTTTCTCATTTAATTTTTTATGATACAATTTATTTCATTAATCTAAAGAAAATTCCTAACTATAACATATTGGGAACAGCTGTGGTGAATAAGCTTATTTCACATCATTAAATGTCACATAATATTAAAGATGTTCTAATGAAAATGTCCTTTGTTATATGAAATTTAACTTTAGTGTGCAATGTTAGGGAAAATACAATTTTAATCTGTCTACTTAAATATAAGTAAATTTATTTATTTATATATCAAAACTATGCAACAAATATACTATATGAAAAAGAGAAATTATGCAGCTTACTACTTGGAAATTATTTATTAATGCAAATCTTAAGGTAGAAAATTGAGGGAAGGAGCTTCAAGATGGCTGAAGAGTAAGACGCGGAGATCACCTTCCTCCCCACAAGTACATCAGAAATACATCTACGTGTGGAATAACTCCTACAGAACACCTACTGAACGCTGGCAGAAGATCTCAGACCTCCCTAAAGGCAAGAAACTCCCCACGTACCTGGGTAGGGCAAAAGAAAAAAGAAAAGACAAAAGAATAGGCACGGGACCTTGCACCAGTGGGAGGGAGCTGTGAAGGAGGAAAGGTTTCCACACACTAGAAGCCCCTTCGTGGGGCGGAGACTGTGGGGGGGCGGAGGGGGAAGCTTCAGAGCCACGGAGGAGAGCGCAGCAACAGGGTTGCGGAGGGCAAAGCAGAGAGATTCTCGCACAGAACATCGCTGCCGACCAGCACTCACCAGCCCGAGAGGATTGTCTGCTCACCCGCTGGGACAGGTGGGGGCTGGGAGCTGAGGTACGGCCTTCAGAGGTCGGATCCCAGGGAGAGGACTGGGGTTGGCTGTGTGAACACAGCCTGAAGGGGACTAGTGCACCACAGCGAGCCAGGAGGGCGTCCAGGAAAAGGTCTGGAGCTGCTGAAGAGGCAAGAGACTTTTTCTTGCCTCTTTGTTTCCTGGTGTGAGAGGAGAGGGGATTCAGAGCACCGCTAAAAGGAGCTCCAGAGATGGGTGCGAGCTGTGGCTATCAGCACGGATCTCAGAGACGAGCATGAGCCGCTAAGGTTGCTGCTGCTGCAGCCACCAAGAACCCTGTGTGCGAGCACAGGTCACTATCCATACCGTCCCTCCCGGGAGCCTGTGCAGCCTGCCACTGCCAGGGTCCTGTGATCCAGGCAGAGGTGAAGCTTACCCAGGAGAACAAACAGCAGGCCTCAGGCTGCTGCAACATCACGCCGGCCTCTGCCACCGCAGGCTCACCCTGAACTCTGTACACCTCCCTCCCCCCAGCCTGAGGGAGCCAGAGCCCACAAACCAGCTACTCCTTTAACCCCATCCTGTCTGAGTGAAAAACAGATGCCCTCAGGCGACCTACATGCATAGGCGGGTCCAAATCCAAAGCTGAACCCCGGGAGCTGTGAGAAAAAGAAGAGAAAAGGAAATTTCTCCCAGCAGCCTCAGGAGGAGCGGATTAAATCTCCACAGTCAACTTGATGTACCCTGCATCTGTGGAATACCTGAAGAGACAAAGAATCATCCAAAATTGAGAAGGTGGACTTTGGGAGCAACGATATGCTTTTTTTTTTCTCTCTCTCTCTTTTTCTCTTTTTGTGAGTGTGTACTTGTATGCTTCTGTGTGTGATTTTGTCTGTATAGCTTTGCTTTTACCATTTGTCCTAGGGTTCTTCTGTCCGTTTTTTGTTTTGTTTTGCTTTTTAGTACAGTTCTAATACTTGTAATCATTGGTGGATTTGTTTTTTGGTTTGGTTACACTCTTCTTTCTTTCTTTTTTGTTACTTCTTAAATTTTTTTTTAATAATTATTTTTTATTTTAATTATTTTATTTTACTTTATGTCATTTTACATTATTTTATTTTATCTTCTTCTTTCTTTCCTTCTTTATTTCCTCCCTTTTATTCTGAGCTGTGGGGATGACAGGTTTCTGGCACTCCAGCCAGGCATCAGGGCTGTGCCTCTGAGGTGGGAAAGCCAAGTTCAGGACACTGGACCACAAGAGACCTCCCAGCTTCATGTAATATCAAATGGTGGAAACCTCCCAGAGATCTCCATCTCAACGCCAAGACGCAGCTCCACTCAATGACCAGCAAGCTACAGTGCTGGACACCCTATGCCAAACAAGTAGCAAGACAGGAATAAAACACCATCCAATGGCAGAGAGGCTGACTAAAATCATAATATGGCCACAGACACCGCAAAACACACCACCAGACATGAACCTGCCCACGAGAAAGAAAAGATCTGGCCTCATCCACCAGAACACAGGCACTAGTACCCTCCACCAGGAAGCTTACACAACACATTGAACCAACCTTAGCCACTGGGGGCAGAAAACAAAAACAACAGAAACTACGAGCATACAGCCTGCGAAAAGGAGACTCCAAACAGAGTAAGTGAAGCAAAATGAGAAGACAGAGAAACACACCGCAGATGAAGGAGCAAGGTAAAAACTCACCAGACCTGAAAAATGAAGAAGAAATAAACAGTCTACCTGAAAAATAATTCAGAATAATGATAGTAAAGATGATCCAAAATCTTGGAAATAAAATGGAGAACATACAAGAAACGTTTAACAAGGAAATAGAAGAACAAAAGAGCAAACAAACAGTGATGAATAACACAATAAATGAAATTAAAAATTCTCTAGAAGGGATCAATAGCAGAATAACTGAGGCAGAAGAACGGATAAGTGACCTGGAAGATAAAATAGTGGAAATAACTACTGCAGAGCAGAATAAAGAAAAAGGAATGAAAAGAATTGAGGACAGTCTCAGAGACTTCAGAGACAACATTAAACACACCAACAGTCGAATTATATGGGTCCCAGAAGAATAAGAGAAAAAGAAAGGGACTGAGAAAATATTTGAAGATATTATAGTTGAAAACTTCCTAATATGGGAAAGGAAATAGTTAATCAAGTCCAGGAAGCACAGAGAATCCCATACAGGATAAATCCAAGGAGAAACACACCAAGACACATATTATTCAAGCTATCAAAAATTAAATACAAAGAAAAACTATTAAAAGCAGCAAGGGAAAAACAACAAGTAACACATAAGGGAATCTCCATAAGGTTAACAGCTGATCTTTCAGCAGAAACTCTGCAAGCCAGAAGGGCATGCCAGGACATATTTAAAGTGATGAAGGAGAAAAACCTACAACCAAGATTACTCTACCCAGCAAGGACCTCATTCAGACTTGATGAAGAAATTTAATGCTTAACAGACAAGCAAAACATAAGAGAATTCAACACCACTACACCAGCTTTACAAGTGCAAAGGAACTTCTCTAGGCAGAAAACACAAAAGAAGGAAAAGACTTACAATAATAAACCCAAAACAATTAAGAAAATGGGAATAGGAACACACATATCGATAATTACCTTAAATGTAAATGGATTAAATGTTCCAACCAAAAGACATAGACTGGCTGAATGAATACAAAAACAAGACCTGTGTATATGCTGTCTACAAGAGACCCACTTCAGACCTAGGGACACATACAGACTGAAAGTGAGGGGATGGAAAAAGATATTGCATGCAAAGGGAAATCAAAAGAAAGCTAGAGGGCTTCCCTGGTGGTGCAGTGGTTGAGAGTCTGCCTGCCAATGCAGGGGACACGGGTTCGTGCCCTGGTCCAGGAAGATCCCACATGCCATGGAGCGGCTGGGCCCGTGAGCCATGGCCGCTGAGCCTGCGCATCTGGAGCCTGAGCTCCACAACGGGAGAGGCCACAACAGTGAGGGGCTCGCATACCCACCCAAAAAAAAATCTAGTAGCAATTCTTATAACAGA